GGTTTTTCACATTTGATGAGAAAACTCTTGAGAAAATCGGAAAACTATTTCCTTTAAGTACCTTCCCAGTCAAATTTTCTTTCAGAAAATGTGTTATGGTTATGAATCGGAGCAAAATTGCCGGTAGAAAAGTTGCGCACAAATAAATAAAAAAAAAAAAATCTTTGAAAAACTATAAGTTTCTTCGCTCCATTTAGAATCTAAAATAATTGTATTTTTTTTATTGTAATTTCATTATTATTTTTCATAACATAATTTCAATATGCGTCACATATATTATGATTATCGCCTATCTTGTACCATAACGCGCACCGGTTTTCTATAGATACGGTAACGGAGTTGAACTATGCGTCTTAAAAATATACGGGATGGTAGGGGGCATCTTCCGGATACGCCACTGAATCAATATACGTTTAACAAAATATTTCCCAAAAAATGTATATGTGAGCACGGGTACCGCTGCAAAAGATCGCATCCTCCGAAACATCGTGAGCGCAGTGTACACAATACGTATTTGGGAAATCGCTCGGTGTTGCGATAACACTGTAGAGGCGACCAATGAAATTTTGCAATATTTGTCGTGTACACCGCCGCCGTACAGATTGTGATGTCGAAAACGTTGACAGAACGGTGGCGATTGAACACACCGCTCGGACGACAATAGTAAATCCTTACTAATAATATAATATGTTAATGCGAAATCATAGCGAACCAAAATAATAATATCGAAATTCTCCTCGTCCGCAGACACTTTCCCATACATACAGGGTGTGTCTGCGGGACAATCGCCCGCGTGTGTCGCTGTGCATAGGAAACGTGTCGAATGCAGCGGATACACCCTGTATGTGTATACAATATACTCGCGTATATTACACAAGTCGTTGCCGAATTTCGTCTAGGCTCCGGTCGTATAGTGCCTCCGAGTATATGTTATAATAATAAATATACATAATATACGTGTGTGTGTGCGCGTGCTTGCGTGCGTGTGTATATTGTAAAGAAACTCCGATTTTAATATATTTGGTTTCCCCTCAATTTCCCCCTCCTTCCCCCCCCGCCCGCCCGCGAGTCCTCCCCGCACGCCGTCCGGGGCATTATTACGATTAAATAATAATAATAATAATTTTAAGAACACAATAGTGTCTGAGCCGTACCTATACACATTGCATATTATATAGGTGGTGTACACAATGGATCCGGTCCGGAGGGGACGAATTCGGGGCCGCGTTCCGGGGGTCTTTGACGTGCTGCTGCAGCGGTCCGCGCGCCGTTTCTCTCCGCTTCCTTCCTGCGAAGACGCAGGAAGAACTGGTCTTAACGGTTTTTTCGGCTTTTGTTCCGGTGGACGGGGAGACTTGCGCAACCCTCCGTCTAGGCGTCCCGACGGTGGTGTCGGTTTGTTTTTCCCCCCGCGTGAAATATCGTGAGAAGCGCGAGGGGCGCCCTTTCCGTTTTTTTCCCAAGGGCGAGACTCCCGGGAAAAAATCAAAACATAATAAACCGTATACTTTTACCGCCAAAGGACATGTGTCGAAATTGGGTCTCGTAACCGTCGTTTGAATTTCAGAAAAAAAAAAAAAAAAAAAAAACACTCGTATACTTATTAGACGACGTATATACGAGTACGTAGTACGGTCATGCGCGACAACCGTCCACACCTATAGGTATACACTGCCGTAATCGACGCGAGCCTTTGCATATTATATTATGTTATATCGAGTGCGTAATATATTATTTATATTGCATTCGTATAGCGAAACAACTCGAAACGATTGCGCATAATAGTATGTATCGTGCGCAATAATCTGCGATGACGACGACCACGTATAGATCTGAAATAAATTTCATAATGGTCAAAATATCGAGGTGAAATCTCGAATAAGTCTACAGGTTTGAAAATAATCGCGGTCATTTGACTCCGATCGTAATAATAATGACCGAGTAGACTAGAATTAAAACTCGTATATTCTTAAGAAAAAAAAAAAAAAAAAAAAAAAAATAGAAAAATGAGTTGACGTCGCTGTTTTATAGGATTTCTGAAGGCAAATCCGATACTGGAATCAATCCGTCTCAAAATGCACAAGACCAGCTCTGCATTTAAAGGGTTAGTTTGCGGTTTGTGTCAAAACTAAGTTCCGTTGGATCGTGGGAGTTTCGATATTGAACTCTTTGGACCATGCGAATTTTGATACTGATCCAATTATTTAACTCGTATCAAAAACCAAATGATCAATTTCCACTATTATCAAAACTCTGTCGCAGATGTTCCGTTCCTTAGAGTCATAACTCACGTGTGCCAAACATCAACCACAAACTCAAATATTTATCGATAACGACATGCAGGTTTGAATTTCTCAGCCTATATTATAATTTATAAGAAACGCATTGTGATTGTATTTATTCTACAGGAAAATCCTTTAGGTATTCTTTTCGTTCGCTGAAAAACGTAATTTTCGGAACAATGTGGAGTTTTGAACCAACTCATCGTATTCTCTAATATATAGTACCTAAAAAACGAATGAACCCGCGGAACATCGTAGATTTGTATTCTGTAAGTGAACCGACAACGACGGAGATAATCATATTGTAATCATCTATATTCACTAATGGCTATATAATAACTATTGGTCTTAGAACATTTTGTTCTTTATTTCTTTGCAGTAAAGTTCCGAGCGTGTATAACATGATAATAATAATTGGAAATTTAATGCGAAAACGTTGTGGGAAAAAAAAATCCCCGTCGTCGGTTTTACTTCCGAAACCCAAGTTAACAACGTAAATACTCGTATAATATACAGTTTACACTTTCAAAATCCTAGCTAACTTTAACGTACAAATTATAGCGCGTTCAGTTTCATCAAAAATCGTTTACCGCGTTATACTGCAGAATCCGTACAACAGTGCGTATAACTTTTCCGCCATTTCGCCGGTCTCGACGCACATAAATAACACCCGAAAAGCAATTTTCCCGAATTCCCGCGAAAAATAAAATCTCCACCGAAAACTACCCCCGCCGAATCCGTATATAACACAATAATAATAATATATTACAGTGGATTAAGTCGAATAACGTTTAACGTCGCCGCGTCACCGCGCTGTTATTTATTTTATTATTCTGAAAACGTATTGCTTTTATAATTGTATCGACGGTTCTGTAATAATGTTTAAAACATAATCTGCAGGACGCTGTCAAACAATTTATAACTCGCACCCGTGTGTTTGTTAATCGAATAAAATTATTTTCGTTCCGTAAACCAATAAATCGCCGCAGCACTGTAGTCGAATAGAATAGATCCGATAATTAATCCCGGTCCGCACGATCGTACGACTGTCGTGACAGTAGCGGTGACGCGATCAGCTCTGACGTCCCACTCTCATAGCCATTAATACTCTATTGATTTCCGTGAAAATGTTATACTTCTACATTGGGTGGTGATAAGTGTAAATTCTAGATTTTACGGGACGAGCTCTTGGCCCGAGCTAGTCTTGTCAAGCTTGCTAATTGCGGTCCAAGTCGCGACTATCGCTTTAGTGACTGCCAAAGAAACAGCGTTGATATGGTATAGACATGATAGTAGATCGATAGTAGAATGAATTTCGATATAGAAACGTCTGTATGAGTGCGACAAGCACAGTAAAATAATATAATATAATTCTTATACAAAAGCCAAATACCATTCACTGATCGCTGTTTCACAAAAACTATGCAACGTACGAACTTGAAATTGGGAATAGTTCCACTGATATTGTAAATGGGCAATAATAAAGGATTTAAAAAAACATTGCGTTTAAGTGTATTAATTAATAATAATAAATCATCGCCAATACGTATTCGCAATCGAATTATTAATTTTTAAAACAATCGGCAAATATTAAAAGCCACATATTAAAAGTATATGAAGGTATTATTTATGTATTTTTATTGATTACCATAGTAACACGGATGAATTTTATTGTTACGGGTTACCATAGTAACGCGAATGAAATAAAAACGAGTTGAAAAAAAAAACCTAATGAAATATAAAATAATATTAAAAATATTTTACGTTACAAAACTGTCCGGGGGCGAAGTCGGGTAATACAGCTAGCGATACAATATTATATGTGTTCACACCGCGGTGATAGTTACAATCAATCAATGGACCATCAACTACAAATGCTTAGATGCTTTCACGATAGTTTATGATCGTATAAATTTGTTACTATCGCGGTTACTATCAAGTTTCGCAACCATCGTAGTGCGGGCCTATTAAAACGGTATTAATCAGTTTATTTGTTTCAGACGCGGTCAAAACATTAATAATACATTTTATGAGTTTCCGACTGTTTGGACACGTAAAATAATTATAAAAACTTCACAAAATAATATGAGCGGGCAATAAAATTTGATTTACGGTTTGTACAGGTATAAATCGTTTAAGAAAATTTGTTTTTTTTTCCTTGGTAACACGAGACGACGGTAACGCGAGAATACAATTAATATAATATTTTACTCCGATACGTTCCGTTACGAATATTTATTATGCGTGCAATATTCGTAAGACTCGTGTGTGTATAAAATCCGTCAAAATATTGTTGATAATATTTCTTTAGTGCCGGGACCCATGGGCTTAAATCAATTTTGCGTGGTTTTTAATACGAAGCTCATTAAATAATGTCAATGCACAGGCATTGACAGATCAAGTCGTTTTTCGATATTTTAACAACGTAACTTTATTCAACTTTATTTTATATTTTTCAGTTGAATTTTCGTAAATAATATCAGTAAGTATACGAAAGAGCGCATGGCTTCCGACAACGGCCCGTATGTCCTCTTCCGCCGACGGGCCGTTTATTCTCTGCTTCTCGGGAGCATCGAAATTCTTAGGCGAGCGGGCGCCTTTTAGTGTACGGTGTCGCAGCCGGTTGCCCGTGGAACTCGGCCGACGATAATTGACGGACGCGAGCCCGCGCGGTCGTTCGCGTCACGACCGCCGGTGGTTTATGAAAGGCCGGCGATGTCACAGACCGGAGACAAGCGACGCCGGCTCCGGGATCAACGATCGATGCTTTTCAATGTTTATCGGCTCGAGTCGTTCACCATCCGCGGCTTCTTTGATTTTTCTGCGGATGCGCCGGGCCACCATCCCGGGTTCGCCCGGCGCGCACGGCAGCAGTCTTATTTTGGCGCTATCGTTGCGCTCACCGTCCGAGGACAGAGCACGCACGGCGTCCTCGTCGGTACTGACAACAGACATTAATTCAATCGATTACAATCGGCCGCGAACGGAATTAAATACGCCCGGCTAGAGCCCAACGCGACGTTTCCGCGTCTCCCGTCGCCAACGGATCGCACCGCGGTACACCGACTTGAGAGGCGTTTACGCCTAATCCAGGGAGACCGGAGAATCGGAAATGGTTTTTTACTAAACGGCGTTCCTCATACCTAAAGGTCACGTACGCCACTCCATTTGCGCCGCCGATGATTTGAACGCCGCCTTCGCGTATAAAAATCCCCCAGAAAAAGCGCCTTACGCTAATAGCGGTTGCCGCCCTGGGCAGATTCATCAACTCGACACTATTGGTCGACGTCATGTAGTACCGCGTCTGAAAAACCGAAATAAACGTATACAAATAAATAATAATATAAATGCAATACGTATATTCTCTTTCCGAAGTCCGGTAACGGTCGGATTCGTTAAGGGGTTCCCGTTAAATTAGTGATTTATAATACATTTTTTTAAAGTCCGGAGAAAATTACCTCCATTACGCAGCAAGCTATAATCGCATTCACTAATTAATCATTACTGTTTTTTCGACTAAATCACACAAATTTGACACTTCCTTTCTCCAAACATTAAAAATATTTACTAAAAACCGCAAATTTTAATGAAAATAACAAGTTGAGACGTCCACAATTTCTGAAGAATATTAAACTCTATAAAAAGGCTATCTTCAAATTTACCAAAAATAAAACAATATATAGTTTTTTTTTGAAGTGTTTTATCTATACATAAAAAACTTATTGAAACATTATGTAAAATTTTTGGTTTATGAAAAAGTAGAATTTATTTTTAAGTACAACCGTAATATTGGAGTTATGGGTGCAAAAATGAGTTCTTTTTTCGCGAACCGGTGAAACTTAACTCGACGCTTTAAAGACAATAGTACAGTCTATAATTATAATACACTGAAACTTAAGCGTTAACACTATTTAAATAAATTCGTTATTTCGTGAATCGAGATTTATTAATGTTGAACGTTGTTTTACTTGTGTCGGGATTGCCATCTTTACACCGCGATTGTTAATCACGAATCTTACACTCATGATTGTCCGGTTAAGTAATTACAAAAATATAATGTAAGAAATAACTATGTGCGAAAAATGATTTGCTCGTATGAAAAAAACTATAATATAATATTCAAAAAACAGAAAACGTAATGGCTGATATAATATGAAAACAAAAACCGAAATTAAACTGGTTAAGGAAACGCCGAACGAGTTCTCCGAACTCGGAGAAAAGCAAAAAAAGTAAGTATAGGTGTAGCAATGTGTCGACAACGGTTTCGGAATAATTTTATTATTAGAACTTTATAGAAACCACAAATTATAATAATAAAAACGATTTCAAGTGGTCGCTTGGATGCAAAATCATATTGTCGAAAAACAGAAAAACACCGAACCGTATCAATAACAATTATGTAGCCGATATATATTAAATAAGCAAAATCAACAAATACAAAACTGTACATCTAGAAACCGTTTGAACGATATTGTAAATACCAAATGATACTCAAACGAATAGTGTACGTTCGTTAGAGTTAAAGGAAACCTCCAATCTAAACGTATATTGAAACAAGACATAAGTTCCTGACAGCATACGGAAATGTGTGTACCTACACCTACAATGCGATTGATTCTCGGTAATAGTGACGAATTTGTTGGAGGAACCAATGGGTCTGGGCCCTCCCCAGACACTAATATAGTTTTAAAAAGATGGCCCAAAAAAGAGAAATACATTAATAAAGATACATTTTAAATACATATGATTTTTCAGGACTCTATTCTAAAAAAATGTTGAAAATCCGCTACTACTCGATAAGATAGTATAATTATCGCTGAAAGTATTAGCTTTTTCAGACAATTTATAAAACGGGCGGTTTTAATAAATCATAATTCATTTTTACTTGCATTTTAGTATATAAAATTAATGATTTACACGGGAAAGTAAATCCGTCAAAACAATTAAACGTTCGTTTTTAGCATTTAACAAATACCACTGTTTAACAATTAAGTACTAGAAATAATAATGCATAAAGGCCTCGTCGATAACCACTTGAAGATAATCTCAAAGAAAATACGATAAATTTGAAAAAATATATTGCAGGATTTATGAACCAAATAGACTAAGCGTTAAGCTATTATCTGTAAAAAACTCATAATGTTAAAACGAATTAATAAATTTGCTCTATTTTATTGGATTGTTGATAATTGAGAACAATTATTAAATCGTGTGTTTTTGGATTTTCAAGTATTATTAACGTATTGATAAGCCATGAAATATTAAGTTTAATATTAGTTTCTAGACGTAGATTGTAGAGATCCGTACGAATATAATTCATCATTGATGTTAGACAAAATAACTTTTGCTTAAATTGCAGTAGGTAATTTATATAATATTATAAAATAAAATAATAAAAAATAATAAATAATGAAATAAACGTCTTTGTAAAACCAATATATTCTTCGCTTCACTCAGAATATAAAATTATTACTAGGTACTATAATACTTTATAACAGTATAAAACAAAAAAAACGTGTAAATTCGAACGGTTAAAAGTTTCAATTGAATTTTTTAATATTGAAGAGGTATATTATATTATTATACTGTCATAAAGGCCAAAAAGCGATAAGAATATACGAATAATATTTTTTAATAAAAAGCTAACGTTGATTTGTTTATTATTCACATTAATTGATTAATTCAGTAATATTTATCAAATATTCGTGGCAATTAATCTTTTGGGGTGTATTTTTTCATGTATCATCGTCAATCTTAAGCCTCGCTTTATTAATATATGAATCCTATATTATATTGCTGATATTATATCTTTTTTTCGCACAAAAATGCGTGCATAGGTACACACGCTACACACACTTTTGCCATTCAATCCGAAAAATAAAGGGAAAATATTGCATAAAACATTAAAATTATAACAAAAAAAAAAAAATGCCAAAAATTTACTAACGTCCTTAATTCTTTTTCGAGACCGACGATTTGTCGTGAACTTTCATTAACAATAAAACAATAAAACGATCGCAAATTAATTCAAGGAAATATATGTAAACCTATTAAAAAACTAGACATAAATTTGAAATTGTTTGTCGTATTTATGTCATTGTGTTGTTGAATTCCACACTTTAGTTCGGCAAGCATTAAAAAAGTTTCATAAAAAACTACAAATGGGTACTTCAAATGTGTGCATAATAATAATATGTTCTTGATATTTTAAAGATGATATTATTCAAAATTTAAAATGTTGCACGTGTAAAAACAATTTATAATACTTTAAAATGAAGAATTATTATAGGTAGTAAGCACGTATAAAAATAATTGAAGAGTTTACGATTCGCCAGCGTTCAATCGAATAACGAAGAAAAAAAAGAAAAAACTATGACTTATTAGAACGAGAAAAGACACGAGATATTTCGGTTTTTATTTTTTTTTATGAATATTTAAGGGGCGTGAATGCGCTCGGCTATGCAGAAGAAATCGTACTAATTTGTTGGGAATGTCGTCGAGTTTTTATTATGGCGTTTTTAATGATTTTTTTTTCTCACTCGCACCGAAATTTAATTCCCTACTGAAAAAAAGAACGACATTCATATATTTATAAGTAAGTAGACTAATAAAAAACTCGTGAAAGCATAAGAATTTTCGACAAAATCATCATGGCCAATAAACCGCATGCGACAAGTTACTGCAAAAATCATAATTATTAAAAACTCAAAAGCATCAGTAAAATTAAAAATATGTAAAATTAAATATTTATTTACAGTTAAGGGCCAATAAGATATTTCCTTTGGCGCCCGACAAGCATAACGATTTAGACCAATTTTACTCAGTCCGATTAATGTAGTAAAGTGATAAGAATTTGAATTCAGCGTGAAATATACTGCAGGAAGTCAGGAAATCATTTGAATTTCAGTCCAATTTTATATTATCTCTCGTAGTTTGTCTATTGGAGCAATATTTTTGGTATAAAACATTCGCGAAAATTTAAAATAACGAAATATTAACTCCGTAATATATATTTGTCAGTTTTCATTTTATGTTTTCTTTTTTCCAGTATTTCGCAATTATTATGGAAAATTCATTAGTATTAAAAACCGACTAACTTCTAAATCCAACGTGCAAGGAAAAGGGCCTCTCGGTATTTTTTAAATACGGCAAAATTTCTGTTAGAAACCATAAATCGTTTAAATTCAACATAATGAAATCGTACGCCGTAAATTTATTCGGTTTCATTTTTCTTCTTTTCCCGGTTTTTCCCAATTGTTATGAAAACCACTTAGAAAATCAAAAAACGACTTACTTTAAAAGTAATTAGATCCGAAATTCAACAAAAAAGGTCTTTAGGTATTTTTAAATTAAATTAATATTTCTAGTAGAAAATATAGTTTACAAAAATTAAAAACAATGAAATCGGTATTGTCTCGGCGGAGCGCCACGTAAATATTTGCATTTTACCTTTAATTTGTTTTCTTGTTTTTCCCGATTATTATCGAAACCCCTCGTAAAATCAAAACAAAAATAAACCTTTTCAATGCACCAACTAGAACCAAAACGCAACAAAAAATGTCTCTCGTCATTTCTCGACTGGAGCGATTTTTCTGTTCAAAAAGTTCCTCTGGACCTTTCGAATACATTTCACGCTGAATTCAAATCTGTTTTCAGAATTCGTATAGCTCCTCTCTAAATCTATCGGGTGGACTGTCTTATAATGATATAAATCCATCTTTTTTCGCTCTACCAGTGCGCATAGGTATTATAATAGGAACCTAGAATTTGTTTTCTGCAGGAAATTTCCAGTGATTATTCTCCGATTCTACCGTAGATGTCTCCCTCTCCCTATGGGATATTTATACACGAAGTAAAAATAATAAAAAGATACCGACAAACTACGCACGACGGGTGGGCCATTGTAGATGAGAAGTCGGGAAGGTAGGATATAGAGGGGAATTTAATGTAATCTA